CATGTGGCTACGATGTATACACGGGAAGCGGGTGTTAGGAGCTTGGAGCGGGCAATCGGGGCTGTTGTTAGATTTAAGGCTGTGGAATGGGCCGAGTGGCTTGATAAGGGGAACGGTGCCGCGGGAGGGGAGGGGAACGCGAAGAGGAACGAGAACGGGAACGAGAACGAGAAACAGGACGGGAACACCAATGAGAACGGGGTTGGGAATGAATGGCGAGCAACAGTAGAACCCCATGAACTCGAAAAGATCCTTGGTATACCCCGGTGGGACGGCGAAGAACGCGATCGGGAAGAAAAACGAGGCGTCGTATACGGGCTCGTAGTCACCGGTATGGGTGAGGGGGGTATCTTACCCGTCGAAAGTATCGCTCTTCCGGGGACGGGAAGGTTGAAGCTTACGGGGAGCTTGGGGGACGTGATTAAGGAAAGTGGGGAGATCGCATTGAGTTGGGTGAAGACGCATGCTTTTGAGCTGGGGATCACGGCTGGGAGGGGGGTTGATCCGCTCAAGGTTCCGGATGTGATTGATGTGCACTTGCATTTACCTGCTGGGGCGCAGAAGAAGGATGGGCCCAGTGCGGGCATTGCTATGGTGCGTTTTCTGTGTGGTGTTTTTTGGAGGGAACGGATTCATGGGTGACTAGATATGCGCATTTGTGTCTCTTTTGAGCGGGGCGTGTGTTCCAAAAGATATTGCTATGACAGGAGAGGTGCGTGCCCTGATACAGAATAAAGCGCGTTCTGATTTGGATTTCTGTCTAGATCACACTTCGCGGGCGCGTGACGCCCGTAGGTGGAATTCGAATGAAAGTGCTCGGTGCGCACCGTGCGCAGATCCGCAAGGTGATCTTACCGTGGGCGAACCGTAAAGATGTGGAACACGACGTGGCTCTGGAAGTCCGTCGGGAAATGCAATTTTTCTTTGTCAGGACTATCGACGAGGCTCTTCAAGCTGCGTTTGGGCGTGGTGCGTTGGGATGGAGGAAAGAAACTGTTTTGCTGGAGAGCAGACTTTAATGTAATCTCCCTTCGGATCGCTTTGTGTACCATTCATCTTGGTCGTTGCTTTCTTTCGATCTTATCGCTATGTATGTACTCCCTGTATTCAATCTTGTATTACACAAAGATTCCTGAACGATGCCTCTGATTCTGATTACTCGAAGGAATGATAACTAACTAATTGTGGAATAGGAAGAGGATTCGATAAGGGATACAAAGGACAGGGCGCAAAACCGCTTATGTAGAGAGACTCCTACTTGCAACACCTCCAGCTTTTGAGTTCGTTGGAGAAAAAAAAGAACAAAAACAGTAGTAAGACCGTCTTCTATTACATGCAGATGCAAAAAAATGATATCCATGTGCCTCCTTCAGATGGCGATTGAACTGACGGATGAGGAAAAACAAAGTGACAGAGAATGAGAGAATGAGAGATAGATCACGTGCAAGGGATGAGATGTATATTATCGTGGAAGGGGTGTCTATGCGGTCGCACGTTTGATCATCTGGGTGGTGGAAGGTTAGTGTTCTTGGAGACGAAGAGACGAGAGGAGAATACTCACTTCACGTGCCCACCGCAGCGTCTTCTTCGTCTCTTGCTGCATACCGCGCTTACTACGGAATTCATGTGCGATCCATTCTTCTAGCAGGTGTTCTTTGATCTGGCCGTTGGGGAAACAGTCTGCGAGGTCACCGATGAGGCCAAAGGAGAGTTTCACAATGGAGTCGGATCTCTCCTCGTCTGCTAGACATTGGTGGACGAGCTCGAGGATGCTGGGCACGTGAGGGAGTAGTGCGGGTGCTAGGGGCGATTGTGAGTGGCAAAATGAGTCTACAAGGAAAACGCAAACTTTTCTCGGTATTCTTGAATCCAGTGACAACCCCAGTGTATGCCTCTAGAATTCCTTCCCGTAGTTGAGCGACATAGTCCATGAGATCAAAGTCAAGCTAATGAGCACCAGTTAGCACTGAACACGTTCAGAAATAAACCAACTCACAGGGTTGGGTTGCACAGAGCCCGCTTGTCTCAGCACGTCCATGGTTGTATTCAAATAAGGATCAAAAGCAGGTCCAATAGCGAGCGCGATATCGCCAAAGCAAGATAGTATTGATATCTTGACATTGCGGTTAAGAACGTTGCTCTGCAGGTTCTCGAGTAAAACGTTCATGAACGCGCCTGCGTACTGGGCGCTCTGATCGCCAAGTGCACGTGAGATATCTCCGATGATGCCAACAGCAACCATGCACAGCTGGGTATCTTCATGTGCTTTGAGGGCGGGATACAGGAATGGCAAGAAAGCTTGGATGTATGGTGCGAATCCAGCTTCCAATGCTGGCGAAGAAACTCAACATTAGGGTGGGCGTGATCGTGAGGGAAACGTACCGGCAGCTAGCGATCCAACAACCAGGAAAGCATCTTCAAGCACTGTTGATGTCTTTCCTGCTCCTTGGATAAGCTGGAGAACGAGGGTCATGATTCGATCTGCCATTGGTTGAATGCCTCCGCTGAGCCTCCGAATAACGCTCTGTCGATGTATGAGCTACAACGCGAAATAATGAACATGATGGCTTACGATGACAACACTACAGAGATTGCTCTGTAGCTCATTCCAGTTATTGCGGTCGTCAACGCCGACGATTTGGTTCTAGAAATGGACGTAAAGATACAAGTAAAATCATGCAGTAAGAAAACGCACCTGCATGTTCAGAAGTTGCTCCATTCTCTGCAAAATAGCAATGACGGTGTTTTGCACCACAGGAATACAATCTGTGGTTGAATGGGATACATAGGACGTGATGGCTTCATATGCAGAGGTTCGGAAGTTGGATTCGTTTGCCGTCCTATGAAACAAGATCAGACTGAAGGTCACGTGAACAAACAAAAAAGTAAAAAGTACGGACGTCTCGGTAACCCGCAGAAGGGCGCTTACTATCCCCTCAAAATATGGTGAGAGCGGGCTCTCGGACGCAGAGGCGATATATTCGTCGAGGTATATTCCGATCTGATCAGCGAGGTTCATGAGCGCCCAACAGCAGTTGGTCACGATGCGCGGGCGATCCGAAAGACCGTTGACGAGCGCCGAAATTAGAGGATGAAGATGAACGTCGGGCTTGATCGTTATAATTAGAAGATCGCAGATTCGTCCGAGTGTCCATGCTGTTGTATCTTTCACATGCAGATTCTCATCGTTCATCATGCCAATCAGAAGGGGAAGCGCCTGGTTGACGAGAGGGGTGAGAACCTGGGGATCAGGACCGTCCAAAATAGAGCCAAACGTCATTACGGCTGCTTCGCGCTGGTGCCAGTCTTGAGCCTTGATGTGTGCCTCGATGAAGGGGATGACAGCGGGAACAATTGCATCTGCTACGGCTTGAGCCATGTAGTTGAGACAAGTACCGGCGCTCATGGCAAGGTTCCATTCGCCTTCGTCAGCGTCTTCTTCTTGTTGCGTAAGGAGATTGAGAAGAACCGGGATTACTTCCGGCAGGGCAACCTTGGCAAAATGCTTGGACTCTAGTTCGGGCGGCTCATCGTATTCGGCAGCCTGCAGGATACGTGACTGGTTTGAATAGTATTTGTGCATGCCGCGTACCTCTCGTGCCTCATGGGCGAGTTCAATCTCTTCCTCACATACAGTGGTCCAGAACTCTACGGCTTGTAGCGCGACCCGTTCATCAGAATGTTTCATGCCCATCACAGTAAGCTGGAAAGTATGTTCTGTCAGGAGGACTCAGGGCAGGATAAACAAGCGGTCGTACGCCAAACAAAGCCTGTTCCATATAAAATGCCATCTTGTCGTAGTACAATGCCATAATCTTGACTAAACATTCGAAAGCGCCGACTTGGACTGATACTGACGGGTTCTGGGTAGCTTCGCAGACGACCTGCATGATGTAGTTTCGCTCTCCCTGATGCGCGTCAGTAAAGCAAACGCCAGAGATTGAAAAAAAAGTACTTCTCGGTCGAAATTGTCCCGTACGAACTCCAGGGAGTTGAATAGTGCATGGACCGCAGCAAGCTGTACTTCCGACGATGGCTCCTCCTTGCGAGCGCCATGAATTACAGCCGTCAAAATCTCATTCGACCTCAATGCCAAGACCTCCGGTTTCTGTGGCGCGAGATGAAGACAAAGTGGTTGAGTGGCACAAGGTAAACGTACTATAGTTTCACAGATGTAACCAATAGCTTGCAAAGTGGCGATCTTCAAGTTCGTGTCATCAGACGTGTTGATAAAACCGAGAAGAATTTCAACGAGATCTGGCCATTGGCCAACGGGTAACTCTACGGCTGCGATCGCAGAAACGACTTGGGCAGCCACAGCACCTGCTCTTGGTTGAGGAGATGCAAGAGTTAAAAGGGATGCCTCTTTGATCTTTTGTCTAGCATCGACATCGAGGGCCATCCATCTTGCAGAGTACTCGTCTTGCCTTGTTGAATCCTATACACGATGCTTAAAGATCATGACAGGTCACGAAGAACGCGTTTTACGTACACGGGCAGAGAGAGCATTTTTGAGTGCAAGACCAGCAGCATTGCGGGTATGGATTTGAGAATTCTCGTTGCGGAGCTCATCTGATAACATCAACATATACACTGGCTGTAAAAAGTCTGAGCATACTAAAGGCTAATGAACAAAAGGGTTATTAAACATACATAGTTCTCCCTAGAAGCGCTCTCAAGTTGCTGAGTGGCAGTCTGACGCGTTGTAGCATCTTTCAAGGGCAGATATTAGCTTAGAATGAACGGCCATGAAAATTGAAAAGTGACTCACCTGGAGATAGGGTATTAGCAAGGAGTGCGCTGGCGTTCATGATTGAAGAATCGTTGCAGCGTGACAGTCGTTGATATTTAAAGAGAGATGGTTTGCGATTTTGCAAGAGGAGATATCAGTTGAAGCGTCGTTGGTGCTAGGAGAAGTAGCAATGATTTGGATCAAGAGTAGAGTCGAAACGATGAAGAAACCCTTCAACTCAACAAACAAGCGGCTTTTCAATTTTTGTGTTTTCTTGTCTTGCTGCCAACAGCAGCCTGCAACAGCCTTGCAAGCAAGTAACCTGTGCACAAGTCACTCAATTAATGGCAGATCGCGTACGATTCAATGTCTTAATCATTTCATCTACTAATTCAATCACAGGGTCGTGCTCCAGCTAGAGGTGGTCGTGGAGGTCCTCCACCGCGAGGTAGACCAATGCCAGCTTCATCTGATGTCAAGTGAGTCACCCCAGAACCCTTATCTGAGTGGCTCCTCATGTTGGAAAGACTCAAGTAAAGGCAAGCGGGAGGCTATCCTCGACCTGTCCAAGTACGTCAACGAGAGAATAAGGGTCAAATTCACTGGCGGTAGAGAAGGTAGCCAGTCGACTAACATAATCGATCATCTTCTGATCAGTTTTTTTAAAATTCAGTGACAGGGATCCTGAAGGGTTACGACCAACTGCTCAATCTCGTTCTTGACGGGGTCGAGGAACAAATTAATGGTGCTGCCATTACAACTCCCCTTTCAGAGTACACCGCTGACAGTTGATCCCCAGAGCCAGAACCTCAAACCCGCTTGTTGAACCTCGTAGTCCTTCGGGGACCCACCATTACCCTCCTCAGTCCCGTCGACGGCTCAGAGGAGATCGCAAACCCTTTCGTAGCTCAGGAGTAGACAGCACCATTCCTCTTCAGTAGTCCATGTATCTCCATCTACTGTTTGTACACCCAAATGTGACCGCTTGTTGCCTGACTACATTTCGAGAGCAAATAATTATGGACTATGATAAGGTCAAACTGAGGTCCGAGTAAGCACGTGTATGTAATGTCTCCCCATTGCCGATCGATGCGAGCCTAGCGCTATCGCAAAGCAACATCAGGTGTCAGATCCACCGTTGCCGGATCCGCACGAATGCGTCTCAGGCGAGGAGCAACCATCTTGAACGTGTTGTAACGTGAAAAATCATCGACCGCATGTTGCTGGTGCAGCAGAGTCGGTGAAGGAGATGGCGAGCAACTTCCGGATGTCGGCGAAGATGAGTCACTTCCATGCCCGCATACCATGCCTATGCGTCCGTGCATGCTATTGCGTAGCGGAGAATGAGGTGGCGAGCCCGGAGGATGTCGTGGTATGAGTTGAACGCGGGAGGTGATCGTAGTAGTGGAGTGTGTATGTGAATGTGAATGGGTGAATGGCGCCTGGGAGATCGACGAGGGTGGAACGTCTCTGGAGATATCAATTGTAGCGGTATTGTTAATGGTTTGATCAAGATAGTTTCGCATGTAAAATGGCACATTAGATGACAAGTGAGATGGTGCGGGTGCGGGGTAAGTGGGAAAACGCGGCTGCGTGCCCGTGGTCTCATAAAATACAGTGTTGATCGAAGCAGACGTGTCTGGAACATGCAAGCGAGAGGATTGTGACGTAGATATCGATGGTCCGAATGTAGGAGTATATGCAATGGATGTGGCGGAAGGCCAGGAAAAACGATTAGACTTGCCATTTGGAGGGCCAGAGTGTGAACGACGAATGAGCTCAGCTTTGTAAGCAATTAGGGTAGCCTCGTTCGGCGGAACTACATTTTTGTCACTGGGACGCGAGGATCTCGAGGGCACTCTGCCTCGAATGCTAGGTCCAACAACAGATGTTACGGGTTCGGTAAAGGATGTGGATGCTAAGGGAGTTGCACGGGATCCTTCAGTAAAGGACTGAACAGATTGGACTTCATCGGACTCAGTAGCATCTGATCGACGCTCTTCATCGCTGAGGAGATCAAAATGTTCAGGAGATGACGTTGGTTTCCCAGCCTCCCGCGCCATTGTCGAAGACGTTGCCAACGCCAGGCCTTGGTCAAGCTGATCTTCAAATATGGCATGGTGTGCAGGCGGAGCCTCAGGTGGGGGCGGGCTAGTCCACTGGGTCCTTTTTGGTGCCATGTGTTCGGGTGGGGTACGAGATGGAACACAATTATCGCCCGAATGTCTATTTTCAGGCTCAAAGAACTCAGGTTGGGGTGAAAGTCGCTCAGCGGATGCTCCCTTGGGCCTCATGGAATTACTACCAACGGTGTATGGTGTCTGGGGGGGAATGGAGAGGCGAGGCGGGACGAAGACGGATGGAGGTGACGTTGTCTGTGGGTCTTCACCTTTTTCTTCACACAGTTGAGCAAGTGCGACAGAAGCGCGAGGGCGCATCGCAAGGATCCTAGATGCGCGCATGAATTCTCCACGAATCTAACGCAGACGATAAGTAAGGTTACAATAGAATAAAAGGCCAACATACCTGGTAAAGCCCTTCTTTTGTTACGCATCGGGCAACATTGAAATCGATCTCAAACGGATCCTATGATTCGGAGAACTTGAGCCGATCATAGGGAAAGAGTTACTGTTCGCGTACCTCTATACAAAACCGATTTCGCTCTCTGGAGTCATTATATCGGCCGGCTGCCAGCTGCATGGCCCATTAACACGTAAAAAGACGCAAGGATGCTAAGCTACTTGCCTCGTTTTGCCATCCCTTGCTGTCCTTCTTCAATAGGCCTCCCCGAATGGAAGCAACGCCTGTATTGTAGGTAAAATCACGAGAATAATATCGGAAGAAATCAATCAACCTGTTTATAAATAAATTCAAACTCTAAACCACGAAGCGACCGAGTAGTGACTTACAAATCAGCCACGCTATCGGTATTAGATGATTGCCATCGCTGGCGTAGAAGTTCTATGTCGTCAAAAAACCTGCGGCGTGGAGTTAGGGACACCTCGTTGGTGATGATAGCCAAAAAGACCGACCAAGTATTATGCCCCCCAATATGGGTGTCCTCCTGAAACCGCTCGATATCAGGTGGAATATATCAGAATGAATCAGCGCACCTGAGAAATTGGCCGTAGGGGAGGCATTTGTTGTAAATTTGGTAGCACAGGCGGATTCTTCACATGTATGAGGAAATATATGACAAGTAAAACGTAACCGTAAGATGATAGCGTCCCCTGGTACGGAGAATTGATGTTTCTGCTCGAGATGATAAGAATATGCAAAAGCATCATATATCTAGATATCCCTACCTCCGCTTGCTCCATACTTTGACTATCACAGCCGTTGAATCATCGAAGAAAGCTGATAATCAGAAATTGGACTCACGGAAGAGAACTAGTGTCCGTACACGTGTGGGATCGATCATAGCGTAGCACATGAGCAGCCTTGTATTCTCCAGGGCGAGTCTATTCTCAAATCCGATATCGCAAGCGATACCATGTGGTAGTCCAGGAGATGGATCTAAGGAGAGCTTGACGATTGGTATACGTGCATGAGGTAGAGGTTTGACGTGAAACTTGGTTTCTGGTAGCACGATAAATGAACGTCGACACGTAATTCCAATGCCAACTAACCGCGTTCTAGGAGGTCGCCGAGCATCGTAACCATGTCGGATGCAGACAGACGCTCGGCAGAATCGATGAGGCAGCATAGATCCATATCTATAGCAAACTGTAGTCCATACGAGCAAGAGACAAGCTATTCCAAGCTCACCTGAGTTACGAAGGCTAAAGCCGTTTGCGGTGCTTCCGAATGATAGTAGTCGGCTGTCAGGTTCGATTGTGCGAATCAACCTCTCAAGGAGTTTCCTGACATCTTCCTTCACAGCCATCTCTTCTTGGGCTGGAAGAAGGCGAATTACGAAGTCGAAAAGAGCTTGTGACAGTTCAACCACGAAGAAACGGTGTTTGGAAGCATGTCTCCGCTGTGAACTATAGGGACTAGACTGGACACTGGATGAACTCTGCGCCATGCTAGAAACAGAAATCTAAAAGCTTGGGGGACTGCTCTGGTGGGCAACAGAGACGAGCCCTTGGTGCCTAGGGAGATGGGAATTGCTTCCACAATAATTGACCTTGAGGAACGTGATGGTCAGCAACTTTCCAAAGGGTCTGCCCAAATGAGGAAGCCAACTTCAATTCTTCAGCATCCGGGCTTGCCGCTTGGAACTTTTATACACCAAAATTATCACAATGGCTATGACACTAGCTATGGACCTCAATATTTATGGAACAAGGTGGAATTATGATAGATGGCAATGATCAACCGGGTACAGCTGAAGTAAACAGGGCATTATCTTCATGTCATGCAGTTTCTTCAACCTTCAAGAGTACCTTCTTCCCATACATTCCTTGACCTAAACGCGCTACGAGGTCACGAATCTTTACAGACGCACTGACATCACTCTCCGTCCCGCCAATCGTCAAAACTTCATAGTTAGGGCCCTGCAGCTGGATAGCCTAGATGAGATGAAATACGAGCATCATTCAAGTTCCGTACCTTGCCATCTCGCATGAGGGCAGTCAACGTCTCAAGCAGTTCCTGACGTTGTTCTGAGGATTTATCGCTATACCAACGTGTTTGCCAAAAACCATGGCAAGTAAGGTTCTTGAAAATAAAGAGCGACGTTGGAAGTGAAAGAGGTTCCTTGGACATCGCCCCGTATGAAACAAGATGTGCGTTGTTCCCAAGTAGTCGAGCCATGAGGGTGGTCGTATTGCCGCTTACGCAGTTGAGACCAAGGCGGATATCCTACAAAATACTACTCAGTTTATCGAAAGGAAAGATGGGGAAGTCAATACCTTGCCTCCAGTCCACGTTTTGACCTTCGCTCTCAAGGACTTTTCGGCGAGTTCGTCATATGTCACAACGTGTGTTGCACCCAGTAATTTCAAATGTTGTTTCAGCAGTCCAACTTCATCTCTTTGGTTGAATGAGACAGGCCCGTAACTGTGGTAAATATGACATACCGGTCACGAATGAAGTTGATGGTCTTGTATCCCTTGGCAGCTGCGATTTGAATCACGGCTTGACCAACCTGAGAAACAGACTTAGGTAAGGGTTGCCGCCAGCGCACGATAAGACCATACATACAGCACTGTTCGCACCGTTTTGCACAATCCAGTCTCCTTCTACAAGTTGGGCGAAGTCGTGCAGCATGTTGTAAGCTGTTGGGGGGTTGACCTTCACCAACGTCGGAACTGAAGTAATCAAAATATCCAAGTGACAATGAAGAGACGTACGGTAATCGTAGCAGCCTGTGCCTCAGACAGACCCTGCTTGGGAACCTTTAGGACATCCGACATGGCAACGTTCTTCGCCGACGACCATGTTCCACTCTGAGCTTTGGTCATAATGACCCAATCATCCTTCCGCAGGCCGACAATGCCATCGCCCACATCTATCACTTTCCCAAGGCCCTCATTTCCCCCCACGAATAGTGGGTAATCCTTGGCCTGGGAGAGGGAAACATCGGGCTCTGGTTTCGCGGGGTAAACGCCCTCAATAACGTTTATGTCTGCAGGATTGATGGGCGCAAGCAGAAACCTTATGTTCACGGTGTTTGGAGGCGGAGGTGGCAGTTCGGGGAAGGAGAATGCAGATAGGACACGAGCTGGGTCACCATTGGTATTGTAGACGATAGCTCGATTACCTGCCAACACCGACGACGTTGAGAAAGTATTGCTTGACATGTTACTTTGTAGTCGCCATGCGTGTTGCAACTGACAAGGTCGCTGCCAGCATGCAAGTACTCTGGCACATGAGTGAACTGAGCTCATCGTAACTGCAACCATAATTTTCCCTCAGTCAGGACTCAGTTGGAGTTCGGAGTTGTGATATGGTGATAACACGGCAAACTATGCTCATCATCGTCGAGATCAGACAGATGAAACTATCAACGCAGTAAAGTACTACGATGTAACCAAATTGAAATCATAATTTTTGTATTTTTCGCGTCTTTTTCAGATTCTACCTATTTTTGCATGTTAAAAACCGGTGATCATCGCGATGCCCGAGCTAGATCACTGAATGGGCGTTAGGCACGATGAGAACGAGACAAGACAATAAAGTCCTACCCAAAGGCAACATCGATGCAGGCCTTCACATCTTTGTAGCTCACAACGAGACAGCTCTGTTCATCGCGGGAAACGAGCATAATACGCTCGTCTGTGCCAGCGTCGAGCTAGCAAGAGCATGAGAAATGTTTCCAAGCAAATAAACAGGGAGTACCTTATTCAAACAAGCTAAGACATGCGAAAGATTGATGACTGGGTTACCGTTCTCGTCCACTTGATGAAAGACGTAGTCTCGGAATAGCTTGATGATGTATCTATCTCCTGTTTCGGACCAGCGAGGCTCACGGGCGAACCTAAAATCAAGGTTGAGATGCTGTTCAGATTGAGCAGTGGTAGACGCACACGGGTCGCTCGTTGATAAAACCAAATTTGCAAAGAAGGCGAACCAGGCGCCCGTTTTCGAGCTCACTCATGAATTCAGCTTCAAGCCTGTTGACGGAACTAAGTCGTAGCATGAGCACCAGCGCTAGCATACATCTACTTTCGTTTACCTGTGCATATCGTCCATTTCGTGGAGCAATCGATTCGTCCCGATCATATCTATTACTTGTGTGATACTCTAAAAATTTATTAGACGCAGGCTATACCGATAATGAGAAAGGCCAACCTTGTGTGGACCTGGTTTAGAGATCAAATAAAGAGCAAGAGCCTTCACATCAGCAGAGTACTGGCGACCTATCATGTCAAGTGCTTTAGGGAGTGTGTTCATGGCTGCAAGATTATTACAGCAGAGAGCAAACACAAGACGGCCAAACATTGCGAGGTCCTCTTGTTGGGCGATCGCAGAGTCTTGGCGGGGATCGTACATCAGAACGTCTGCAATACCGCACGAGCCAATATGAATTCTGCTCGCAGACATAAGATGAATCAGATACGAGATGAGAGAACACACCTATTCTTGCCCGTGACCATGATTTTGGTTGCGTCAACCATGCGTACTGCGAGGCCCGCTTCATGCACTACCTTGATGGCACTGGACAATTTGGATGATGTACGACCATAAAGTCGCCTCGGGTAATGCCGCTGAGAAAGTTGAAAGACGGCCATGCTGAAATACAGGCGGCCTCTGTTTAATGTGCATTTCAAAGAGAGTCTGAGCATCCGGATAGTATTCATACGCGACCACCAAAGCTGGTTTACGTTTGTCAGAGCAAGCGAAGTTGAATAAGGGTCCAACGTACAATTGTCGTTGAATGCACGAGTAGTGAATGCTTCGCGGACACGAACGATGCTTGGATGCTCAACACGCGACCATGTTTCGATAGCTCCAAATGCAGCTTGATGCATCAACCTGAAATCTGCACAAGTCAACAATATAGGGTAAATGCCATGGGTGTGACTAACTTTCGATGCGACGAAGAGCATATGATATACCATCGTTGGAACTAGTTGCGCGATAGACGGTAGAGTACCAACTGAAGAACTTGCGTCGCTCGGTGACAGAAGGTTCAAGAAGAGCTAGGGAATGATATCCCTGAAGTTCATCAGGTAGGTTATGTCCAGGTAGTGGGACAAGTTGTGAGGCTTCCGAGCGTCTGTGCAGCTCCTCGCGAATTGTATCAGAGACAAAATGCGTCGAGGGAAAGGCATCCGGAGTAGGGTGCGAGTAGAGATGATAATCCAACTACACACAATAAAGGTAACACATCCTTCCATACAGATTTGCAGGAGAAGCTTACAGGTTGCCTTACAAACGTAGCCTGTTGAGATTGATAGAAATTACTCATTGGTGAGGCGTGGTCGTCATAATCCACCTGAAGTAGATATCAGCCCAGGGAAAAAAAAATATAAGGACATATTCGCACCTGCTGATACTGATTGACTAATTGATGCTCCAATGTCTGAGGTGTCTGATTGGAGACAGAGTCTCCATAATCATCGTATTCGGCATGATTCGGATAAAAGGTTGAAGGCGAGGGGCTATACAAATCTCAGTAGTTGTAGGGTAATGCATAGAGGTCTTACGAAGGAGTGAATGGCGATGCCAAAGTCGGAGAAGGAGATGTAATTGCATGAAAAGGTGCTTTTGGCACAAAGATGGGAGCATTGACGGCCTGCGCAGAAAGTGAAGCAGGAAGAGGTGATTCTGGACATGGCCTAGAGAGATCATGAGCGCTTGAGGCAGTCAAGGATCGAAAACCTTCCGTACAGATTGTTTGAACCTTCAACCTGAAATACATTGAGAGGGGGTATACTATCAACTGGTTTGCATTGCACATACCGGTGGGTGATAATAGATACAACCTTTGTCCTGATAACGACAAGATCTGCGTGACGCATTAAAATACTACCTCGCCGCTGAAGAGATGATTTTACCCATAAATCAATATATTCCTACATTGACGCTGAGGAGAATCTGATGAACCGGGTTAAGTTATGCATGGATATTTGCGTCGATCGAAGGTACTACCTCTCTTGGCCTGCAATTTAGCCTTCTCATCATGTTCTGCCGGATTGACGATCTTGATGGCAGAACTTGAAGACTGTGGCCTTTGGCTTGAGAAATAGGCCATAGGAACCTCCAGATTGCTGCCGCCAGGTGATGTTTGTCAATCAACGGGATCTGAGAGCGCTGAGCTGCAAGCAGTGCCAAGCAACTTCTGCGGGGTTAGGGTTATGACATATGTACGACTACAAATCTGTGCTGCATACGAGCCATAAATAGGATGTGATTATACGTAGGTCATGGTATACCCGCAACAAGTTATTCAATTTTAAACTTTTTGCACTCTATCTTAAGACTCTTATTCACCTTCCCGACTGGCTCAGATTGCATTGATGGTATGACCGGAGATGGACTACGCTTGCGCTTGATGCCTTCCTTATTTCCCTCCTGTTTGGCGCGTTGCTTTGCAAACATGGCCTCGATACCGTCTTTGCGTGTTGTAACGGGCTGGACAAAGGCGGGAGACTCGGCACCAACTTTTCCAACTTCCTTTGGAACTTGATAGCTGCATACAATCATCAGTGTCCGAGATACAATCAAGGAAGAAAAGGGCACACCATATTAGACCTTCAGCCGGT